CATGCAAAATTCAACATGTCATTGTTTTTTTTTTTTTACCACTGAGTAGAACTCTAAAGTGTATATGTGCCACGCCTTTATCCATTCTTCTATTGAGGGGCACCTAGGTTGGCTCCAGGTTCTGGCTATTACAAATAATGCTGCTATGAACATAGTTGAACAAGTGCTTTTGTAGTATGATAGGGCATCTCTTGGATATATTCCCAAGAGTGTAATTGCTGGGTCTTGAGGTAGGTTGACTCCCAGTTTCCTGAGAAACCACCACCCTGATTTCCAAAGTGGTTGCACAAGTTTGCATTCCCACCAACGAAGAGTATTCCCCTTATTCCACATCCTCTCTAGCATAGGCTATCATGGTGTTTTTGATTTTAGCCATTCTGACAGGTGTAAGATGGTATCTCAAAGTTGTTTTGATTTGCATTTCCCTCATCACTAAGGAGGTTGAGCATGACCTTAAGTGTCTTTTGGCCATTTGAACTTCTTCTGTTGAGAATTCTTTGTTCAGTTCAGGACCCCATTTTTTAATTGGGTTTATTAGAGTTTTTAAAGTCTAGTTTCTTGAGTTCTTTATATATTTTGGAGATCAGACCTTTGTCTGATGTGGGGTTGATGAAGCTCTCCCAATCAGTAGGATGCCTTTTTGTCTTAATGATAGTGTCCTTTGCCCTACAGAAGCTTCTCAGCTTTAGGAGGTCCCATTTATTCATTGTTGCTTTTATTGTCTGTGCTACTGGGGTTCTACGTAGGAAGTGGTGTCCTGTGCCCATGTGTTGTAGACTACTTCCAACTTTCTCTTCTATCAGATTTAGTGTGGTCAGATTAATATTGAGGTCTTTAATCCATTAGGACTTGAGGTTTGTGCATGGTGATAGATATGGATCTATTTTCATTCTTCTACAGGTTGTCATCCAGTTCTGCCAGCACCATTTGTTGAAGATGCTTTCTTTCATCCATTGTATACTTTTAGCTCCTTTTTCGAAAATCAGGTGTTCATAGGTTTGTGGATTAATATCTGGGTCTTCGATTTGATTCTATTAGTCAGCATCTCTGCTTTTGAGCCAATACCAAGCTGTTTTCATTACTGTAGCTCTGTAATAGAGTTTGAAGTCAGGGATGGTAATGCCTCTGGAGGTACTTTTATTGTGTAGGATTGTTTTGGCTATCCTGGGTTTTTTTGTTTTTCCATATAAAGTTGACTATTGTTCTCTCAAGGTCTGTGAAGAATTTTTCTTTGGGATTTTGATAGGGATTGTGGGATTGCATTGAATCTATAGATTGCTTTCAGTAGAATTGCCATTTTTACTATGTTGATCCTCCCAATACAAGAGCATGGGAGATCCTTCCATTTTCTGGTATCCTCTTCAATTTCTTTCTTGAAAGACAAAGTTTTTGTCAAATAGATCTTTCACTTCCTTGGTTAGAGTTACCCCAAGATACTTTATGCTATTTGTGGCTATCGTGAAAGGTGATGTTTCTCTGATTTCCCTCTCTGCTTCTTTGTTCTTTGTATATAGGAGGGCAACTGATTTTTTTGGAGTTGATCTTGTATCCTGCCACATTACTAAAGGTGTTTATCAGCTGTAGGAGTTCTTTGGTAGAGTTTTTGGGGTCACTTATATACACTATCATATCATCTGCAAATAATGAAAGTTTGACTTCTTCCTTTCCAGTTCGGATCCCTTTGATCCCCTTATGTTGTCTTATTGCTATTGCTAGAACTTCAGGCTTTATATTGAAGATGTATGGAGAGAGTGGACAGTCTTGTCTTGTTCCTGATTTTGGTGGGTTGGCTTTGAGTTTTCTCTCCATTTAATTTAATGTTAGCTGTCGGCTTGCTGTATATTGCTTTTATTATATTTAGGAATGAACCTTGTATCCCAAATCTCTCCAAGACCTTTATCATAAAGGGGTATTAAATTTTGTCAAATGTTTTTTCAGCATCTAATGAAATGATCATAGTGTTTTTTTTTTTCTTTCAGTTAATTTATATGATGGATTACATTGATAGCTTTTCGTATGTTGAACCAGCCCTGCATCTCTGGGATGAAGCCTACTTGATCATAATGTATAATTGTTTGGATGTGTTCTTGGATTCGGTTTGCCAGTATTTTATTGAGAATTTTTGCATCGATGTTCGTGAGTGAGATTGGGCTGTAATTCTCTTTTTGGTTCAGTCTTTGTGTGGTTTTGGTATCAGGGTGACTGTAGCTTCATAAGAGGAGTTTGGCAATGACTCTTCTGTTTCTATTTTGTGAAACACATTAAGGAGTATAGGTATTAGCTCCTCTTGGAAGTTCTGGTAGAATTCTGCATTGAAACCATCTAGTCCAGGGCTTTTTTTGGTAAGGAGGTTTCTGATGACAGCTTCTAACCTCGTGACTTACAAAGGTCTATTTAAACTGTTCACCTGGTCTTGATTTAATTTGGGTATATGGTACTTATCTAAAAAAGTGTCCATTTCTTTAACATTTTCCAGTTTTGTGGCATATAGGCTCTTGTAGTAAGATCTACTGATTCTCTGAATTTCCTGTGTCTGTGGTTATGCCCCCCTTTTCATTTTGATCTTGTTAATTTGTGTGTTCTCTCTCTGCTGTTTGATTAGTTTGGATAGGGGTTTGTCAATCTTGTTGATTTTCTCCAGGAACCAGCTTTTTGTTTCATTGATTCTTTGGATTGTTTTCTGTCTTTTTATTTTGTTGATTTCAGCCCTTAGTTTGATTATTTCCAGTCTCCTACTCGTCATGGGTGAATCTGCTTCTTTTTTTTTTTTCTAGAGCTTTCAGATGTGCTGTTAAGTCTCCAATGTGTGCTTTCTCCGTTTTCTTTATGTGGACACTTAGTGCTATGAACTTTCCTCTTAGCACTGCTTTCATAGTGTCCCATAGATTTGGGTATGATGTTTCTTTTTTTCATCGAATTCAAGGAAGACTTTAATTTCTTTATTTCTTCCTTGACCCAGGTGTGGTTCAATAGTTGACTGTTCAGTTTCCATGAGTTTGTAGACATTCTGGGGTTAGAATTGTTGTTGAATTTTAACTTTTTTTCCAAGTTGATCCGATAGTACATAGGTGGTTACTACAATTTTATTTTTGTATCTGTGGATGTTTGCTTTGTTACCGAGTATGTGATCATTTTTGAGAAGGTTCCATGCGATGCGAGAAGAAGATCCATTCTTTTCTGTTTGGGTGGAATAGATGTCTGTTAAGTCCATTTGGTTCATTACATTTGATAGTTCTCTTATTTCTCTGTTAAGTTTCTGTCTGGTTGACCTGTCCATTGGTGAGAACGGAGTGTCAAAATCTCCTACTATTACAGTGTGGGGTTTGGTGTATGCTTTGAGTTCTAGTAATGTTTCTTTTACATAAGTGGGTGCTTTTATACTAGGGGCATAGATATTCAGGATAGAGACTTCCTCCTGATGAATTGTTATGAGTGTAAAGTGTCCATCTCCATCTCTTCTGATTGATTTTAGTTTAGATATTAGTATAGCCACACCCGCTTGTTTCTTTGGATCATTTGATTGGAAAACCTTTTCCCAATCTTTTACTCTGAGTGGATGTGTGTCTTTGTGGATGAGGTGTGTTTCTTGTAAACAGCAGAATTTTGGATCCTGTTTTTGTATCTTTTCTCTTAACCTGTGCCTTTTTATAGCTAAATTGAGTCCATTGATATTAAGTGATACTAATGACCTGTGGTTGTTAACTCCGGTCATTTTTCTGGTGGTAGAGTTTGTGTGTTTTCCTTCTTTGAGTTGTGCTGGTGGAGGGTTGTCAGATGCTTGTGTTATTATGGGTGTTGTTGGCTTCCTTGGTTTGTGATTTTGCTTCTAGTATTTTCTGTAAGGCTGGGTTTGTGGCAACGTATTGTTTAAATCTGTTTTTGTCCTGGAATATTTTGTTTTCTCCATCGATGGTGAATGCAAGGTTCGCTGAGTATAGTAGTCTGGGCTAAGAAAGGCCATTTTAATAGAACTGTTCAAATATATACTAAGTCTGGACAATAGGATGAAACTCACATCTTGTTGGACACTCAGCACATTTATGTCCCTGCCTTCCTTCTAAGCTGTTATTGGAAGATTGACTCTGACCTGATTTGACCATTGGTCGTGTTTGTAAATATTACACACGAATCACTTCAAGATAAGGACTTTCTTCTTTTTCTTTCAAATGTAGCCATACTAATATGACAACCATGCTTATGGAAGAAGACTTAAAAAGCAACACCATTATTGTGTATTTAGTCAGGATCTGTTGACAAGAGCCTGAGTTGCTCTAGGGGAAGAAAAGAATCATATACTATGCAGGGATCTCCTCACTGAACCCTTCGTATTCATATCTGTTCTTTTTCCCTTCTCCCCCTACCTCTCTGTTCGGAAAGAATTGATTTAATTTTGTCTGTCCATTGCTCCCGTCTCTGCCTAATTTGTATTTTAGTTCAATCAGTGGAGTGGTGGTGTTCTATCTTCCTTGTGGTTTCTGACTTAGATGAATTCTTCAAGGCAGAAGAATATTTCTCCCAGTTTCTAGAGAACCAGTGGTTGTTCTAAAAGGGCCTCTTACTTTAGGGACCCGACTTGGAAAGTGATTGAGGTGTTTTATAGACAGCAGCTCAGAATAGATAGGTACCAGTCACGTGATCTCTAGAAAAGGTAACTGACCTTGCAGAGAGTCTCAGTTGTGAAAAGGAAAGACAGTACTGACTTCCCAGGACTGCTGTACTGCACATTACACATTAAGACCACACACATGGCTGCTCAGCTTGTGTACTAAACCGTCTCACGAAAACAGCATGCACGGGGCTCCCTGAAGCCGTGTAGCACACCATGGTACCCACCCTGTGCACTCCACTTCAGCTTTGTAGACCATAGAGGGCACAGTGACCATTTCATTTGCCCCTTGCTGCATCTCTTTTCATGTTGCCATCTCTGTATGAACTGCTGAAGAATAGAGACCATGGCTGAGTCTCACTTGTCATAGAGCATAGAAGCTCATCAGAACTAGGTATCTCTGGGTTGGTGCTGTAGTTCAGTTGGTAGAGCACTTGCTAAGCTCATACATGAAGTTTGAGTTCAGTCTTTGACACTACATAAACTGCATGTGGTAGTACATACCTATAATCCCAGCACGTGGCAGGTAGAAGCAGGAGGCTCAAAAGTTCGATGTCATCCTTGGTTATTATAGGGAGTTCAAAGGTAGCATAAGCTATATAAAAATTAAACAAAAAAGGGGAAAATAGGATGAACAAATATGATCATATTTTATGCAGCAATTTTCATTTTTTTAAACTGGTGTCTTGCTTTTACAGATGAATATTTATAAATTTATATATTTAATACCAGTTAAATTCAAAGTTGCATTTTCTCTCGATTGGGAAGTATTGGAGAAAAGGAGAGTTGGGGTGAAAGTCTTTGCCGGGTTTGTTGTTTAGTTCCTGTGTGCTAGGGTAAGGAACGTGTGTATTGGGGGGTTGGGCAGGTAAGTGTAGTGTTCCAGAGGAGGAAAGAGAAGGAATGGGTTTCTGGAGTTGTGGGAAAGCTGCCATAGTGTGCTGCTGCCAGTCTTGAGGTGGGAAGTGTGATATCCTTTCTGACATCTAAATTCTGGGAGAGCTGATGGTAAATGTGGGGGCATCTATGGGGTCATTGTCATTGGGCTTGTTCAGAATCCAGGTATCTGAGCATAACTTATTCCCTTCCTGCCGCTTACCCTCTCTGCATGCAGCTTAGGGGACGGGGCGGGTCTTGGAGAGAGCATTTGAGCACATTCTCTCCTTTGATTTTAAACATTGGGAGAGTCTTCTGTTTTATATTTTAGACCCACCTCCTCCAGATGAATCCCCTAATATTACATCTGTCAGTCACAATTCAGTAAAAGTTAAGTTCAGTGGTTTTGACGCCAGCCATGGACCTATCAAAGCCTATGCCATCGTTCTCACCACTGGGGAAGGTAAGGAGGGGCCAACGTGGGTTAACTTGTGTGACAAAACTATCCTGGTTACTTTTTTACTGTTGTGATAAAACACCACGACCCAATCAACTTATCAAAGAAAGTGTTGAGCAGGTTTATGGTTTCAGAGGGCTAAAGTCCCTGACGGTGGAGTAAAGGAGCAGTGACAGGAGCATCTGAGAGCTGACATCTTGATCCACAAGTGAAGCAGTCGTGGGGGTTAAGGCACCTTTGGAAACCTCAAAGCTCAGTCCTCATGACAGACCTCCTCCAACAAAGCGATATGTCCTAATTATTCCCAATCAGTTCCACCAGCTGGGGCCCAGTGTTCCACTGTTTGAGTCTGTAGGGGCTGAAGTGACCCACCACCATAAACGATGCTGTAACACACAGGCACATTCGTGACATAGATACATCATCGTGTCTCTGCACTGTAGCCTGTACTGCAGACTCACAGGGAGGCTGGCCGTTTGCTTGGTGCTGTCAATGATCAGACAGCAAGTAATTTAAGTTTTCTTGGCCTTGCAGCCTCTGTCACAACTATCTAACATCTCTGATGGTGTGGAGCCACGCATGGAAAATTCATTAGGGTGAAGGTGCCCATCCCCACAGCTGTTTACACCAGGTGGTGGCTACATTTGGCCCATAGGCTCTAACTAGCCAACTTAGGATGCTTTGCTCTTGAAAGCAAGTACAAAAAGATTGCACTTGCTAGTGGACTCTGTGAAGGGCATCTACTGGATGGGAGGGGAGGTGAACTAGAATGATTTTTCTGTGCCAGTTAGAAGGGCGTCTCTGATAGCTGTGTGGGAGTGTTTTACCCAAACAAGGGCTAGGGAGATAGCTCAGTTGGTAAAGTACTTGCCTTGCACAGGCCCTGAGTTCAGTCCTTGGGATATACATTACAGAAAGGGCATTGGGATATGCCCTTGTAATCCTGGAGCTGGGGAGGCAGAGACAGGAGGATCCCTGAGCTCCCAGGTCAGCCAGCTTAACCAGCGTGAAGTTCCAGGCTAGAGAGAAATCCTGACTCAAAAAAGGTAGGAGGTGCCTGAGGAATGATAGCTGAGGTTGTCCTCTGGTCCCACACACATATGGATACACGTGCATACAAACTAGCTCACACATGTGTTCCTGCATCCTGGAGAATACATTAGAAACAAAATGTGGAGATCGCTTTCTCTGAAGTTTAAAATGTTGAGTCCATGCCAGGCGGTGATGGCGCAAGCCTTTAATCCCAGCACTCGGGAGGCAGAGGCAGGCGGATCTCTGTGAGTTCGAGACCAGCCTGGTCTACAGAGCTAGTACCAGGACAGGCTCCAAAACCACAGAGAAACCCTGTCTCGAAAAAGCCAAAAAGAAAAAACAAAAATGTTGAGTCCGTTTTTAAGCCCTTTGTCAGTGAATGTGTTTTCAGCCAATTTCAAACTCAGACCCATGTTGAATGAAAAAGATCCTGTTACATGGTGACCTTGGGCCAGGAGAACAGGGCTAGGAGTCCAGCCTTACAGCATGCGCAGTGTGGCTTTGGGCAGGTTTCTGCCAGCTCTCTGCTCTTTGTTTTTATTGCTTGAGAATAGGGATCATACGCTTTTGTGAGACTCAAGATGAAGGGATGAGGTGATATAAGCCAAACACTAAGGATTCAGCTGCTCCTGGAACTTGAGAGATGGGCTGCTGGCATGTCACTCAGTACCTGTGTTCTTACAGAGTTGTTGTTTTTCTTTCTTTTTTTTTTTTGACACTTTTGTCTTTCTGTTGTCATTCATGATTTGCCTCTTTGTTCCTTAGCTGGCCAGCCTTCTGCAGATGTTTTGAAGTACACATATGGAGATTTTAAAAAGGGGGCCTCGGATACTTATGTGACATACCTCATAAGAGTAGAAGAGAAGGGACGCTCTCTGGGCTTGTCTGATGTCTTGAAATATGAAATCAATGTGGGGAACCAATCCACCACCTTCGGCTACTACAAAGGGAGGCTGGAGCCTCTGGGCTCCTACCGGTAATATGGGTCCTTGCTGTTGGGTGCTGAGCCTCATGAATTTAAGATTCTACATACTAAGGTGGTAGAAACATCTCAGTTACCTTATTTTCTCCACTGTCCCCCATAGGGTGTGTGTTGCTGGCTTCACCAATATTACTTACAGCCTTCAGAATGGTGGACTCATCAGTGGGAATGAGAGCTATGTTTCTTTCAGTCAGTATTCGGATGCTGTGTTCCTGCCTCAAGATCCAGGTAGAGGGAGACAAAAGCCCTAGCATCAAATGCAGTGGGTTTTCCACCTTGTGTCTGCAGAAGCCTACTGTCTCCATAGGCACCCACAAGGGTGGAGGTGGCTGGTTTTCTCCTCTCAGAAACTGACATATCCCTTCGCCTTTGGGCTAGCTTAACTCCCCACTCTGGTGTCCTTAAAAGAGCTGCTCTCCACTTCTTCTCTAAAACCAGCCACACTTCTAATCTGCAGATTACTTAGTCCTTTGCTTTCTAAGAGTCACTTGTGGGCCCATGTACCAGCAAAGATGTTCAGTTTAAAGAGTCCTTGAATGTTCATATTAGAAGGAACCACAGCAGTTGTCTTATCTTACGTCTGTGTAGAAATAAGGCTTCTAAGACCCAGTGTTGCACAGTGACTTAAATGCAAGCCTGAAGTTCTAGCCTAAGACTCCTTGTAAAGTGCTCGTTCTATCCAGTCTCACAGAGCTAGATATATTGGAATTTTAGGGACCAAGGTGAGGGTACCCTCCTCTGTCAGTATGGAGAAACAGTGACTTACTGGTCTGTTCATTTGTTTTTCCTAACTGCTGAGTAGAACAGATAACCCAGAAGCAAAATTCAAGGATTCCCCTTAAACAACCCATATAAATGGCGGGGTGTGGGGGTGTGAGGTGGGGGGAGGGATTCCATGCTGTTTGTGGGTGTTATTGTAGGTACTTCTGCTCATAAGTGATGGGAAAAACCACTGATCTAAGTCTCTCAGGTCACTAAATTTGCAGCTGAACTGAGACCTAGCCAGGGGTTGTGATATTCTTAGGACCATCCTGCTAATTGTGGGCTTAGGGTGAAGAAACAAGTTCTTGAAAGCTGGTTGTAATTTTATGTCTAAAGATATTCACTTCCCCCCTACGTGCACCACACCCCCTTTCTCCCTGAATTCTGTGTGGGTCCTGGACTGGTTGTTAGTATAGCACATGGCCCTTCATGAATGCCAATTGAAATGCCTCTTGTTGGGACCTTCCCCAGGTGTCATCTGTGGAGCAGTGTTCGGATGTATCTTTGGTGCCCTGGCCATTGTGGCTGTGGGAGGCTTCATCTTCTGGAGAAAGAAAAGGTGATACAGCTTATTTAGTTGGCATGTGCTACTGTTTAAGAAAACCTTTTATTATAAGGAGTTGGAACCATTTGTAAAATCGGGAGGAACAGTTGAAAGTTTTTGCCATCTGGCCAGACTTACTTCCTTTTTGACTCCAGTTGGGTGATTTGATTATGAACCTCACCCCAGCCACATCAACCCTACCTGCTGTGCAGGATGCTGTGTGGGATGCTGTGTGGGATGCTGTGCGGGATGCCGCTCTCAGGCCAGGATCCTAGGAATGTGTTAAGAATTTCATATGATTATAGAGTTGACCAAGTTCGAACTTAGGTTCCACTCTGGCTAGCTGTTGGAAGTGGCTTAGCCTTAACCTCTTCCTCTGTGGTATGGGAATGAGTGCTCTTCCTCCATTGTTTTGTTACTTGCTATTGTCTTTCTACCACCACCCTGTGATGTAGTTAATTAGTGGAAAGTAGCAGTTTCATTTTGGGTGCCCTCTACCTCATGGACTTCCCAAGGCTCTAACAGGCAGGTCTTAGAAGCCCTTCTAGGATTGCAGAAACAGTGCTGGAAGCACCAAAGAGGAACTTGAACTTGGTCTTTGGGTTTTTGTCTTGCCTGACTGTGGGAATCCTGTGCTGGACTTCACTTCCTGCCTAGCCTCTAGCTAGAAATTTCCACCTGGGATTTGGCTTTCTCAACATCATTCTCCAGTTTTTTTTTCCTTTCTGAAACAGAGTCTATTAAAATATCTTAGGATATTTCAAATGTAGCAGAGGGTAGCCTTGGATTCCTCATCCTTCCACCTCTGCCGAGTCTGAGGCTATAGGTGTGTGCCACCCAAGCCTATTCCAAGAAAACAGTAGTTGCTTTATCTCCCCCTCAATAAATCACATAGTGTCCCTTCTCTTCATGTCAGTTAACTCTTTTACATTGTACTAAAAAATGAACCAGAACCTAGCTCAAAAGCTGGAATGTCAACAGTCAAGTCAATAGGGCACAGGGAGTGAGGTCCCTAGTAAGAAGCTGATAGCAAGAGTTGGTCTGAACCACACAGTGGAACCTGTCTCAAAACCTGAAAACTACCACCAAACTCAAAACTCAAACCCATTGTGATAAAGAAAATACCCACAAGAAAAGCAAAGAGATTCAGTAACCCATAATTACAACAAACCTGCACCTACCATTTTCCTGTGATTATGATGCTCACCCCAGCCGAGTCCTTTTAGACACATTAATAAGACTTCATTTCAGTATCATTTTAAGTAGCTGCTGGGTATTTGCCATCATTTATTTATCCATTGTCCTGGATATTGTAATACTTTTGACTACAGTTATATGTCCTTGTACCTAACCTTTGGGCATGCTCAAGATTATTTCCCTAGGCTAAATTTTAAACAGAACATTTACTGGGTAAGTGGGCATGCTTGTTTCCCCTCCGATTTTGGTCCATGCTACTCAATTGCAGTTTGTTTCAGCACCATGTGGAGCTGAGTCAACAGTGCAGGTGCTCACAGTGGCAGTTTTGGACCTGACTTCCTTTCAGGGCTTTCCCCCCTCTTTGCATTAATTTACACACACTCTCACACACGAAAACTTCTAAAAGTTGCTTGAATAGATTTTTGATTCTTTTCAATAAAAAGAAAGAGTAAGTGTATCGATTTTTAGTTTATATTTCCTGCTTGGTCTGTCAGGTTGAGTATCAGTGAACAGGTTGCTGTTGGCGGTTATGGACTGGTGAGCGGGCTTCCATTTACCTGAACCACTGCCTGGGAAGAAGGTGTCTGTGGATGTGTGAAAGGTGGCAGAGCAGGCAGGATGAAGGTCTTTGTCTGTCTAATGGGCCTTTTTTTCCCCCTTTCAAAATAGGAAAGATGCCAAGAATAATGAAGTGTCATTTTCTCAAATTAAGTAAGTCTGAGTTACAAACTTATTTTAAGATTCTCAGTCCCCAGTCTATTCAGTGACTATCTAAAGCACTTTTTTTTTTTTTGATAGAAATAGCTGGCATTTTTCCTGATTGACAGATTGGCCATAATCTTCTGGAAGTTCTTGCTGTTTTCTGCAAGGATTCTTTGTTTTACTGTCCTCCTGAAGTTACTTTTATTTTTGTTTCCCCATATGTTCTTCAGTTTTACTAACAAATAAGGTTCTCTGTGTGTATCTGGTGTACCTGTGTGTATGCATCCCCACAAGTGCTCAGAGGCCAGAAGGGGATGGCTCTTATCACTGCTTGCTGTGTCTCTTGAGACAGGGTTCTTGCTAAGAACTGCTTGGCCCCCAGCAGTCCTCTGCCATCCTCCTGTCTACCCCAATTCAGCACGGGGGTTACAGGTGCACGTGGCCATGCCGGTGTTTTTATGTGGGTGCTGAGGATTGGAACTCAAGTCCTCAGACTTGAGCAGCAAGCTCTCTGACCCACTAAACTATCTCCACAGCACCCCACAAAGTAATGCTATATTTTACAGAAGTGAGTGGATTATCAAGAGCCAAGGGAAAAACAGTTATTTCAAGTCACAAACACTGTCAGTTTTAGGGTAGGGCTGCTTTTCTGATTTGTGTCTCAGGGTTTTTTTTAAATAACATTGCATTGATCTTCAACCCATACCCCTTACTGTGTCTGGCTTTGTTCTTTTGAGTTGATGCTTACTTCTAAAATGAGTACATCTAATTGATTTTCCCCCTTTTTTCCTTTCCATGATGAAGACCTAAAAAGTGAGTAGCTTCATTTTTATATCTTTCATTTTGATATTCTTTCATTTGTATCTTATATTTTGAGTTTGAGCTTAATTGAATGAAAAATAAGCAAAAATGAAAAGCCCAACAAGTTGTTTTGTTTTCCTAGATCCAAGTTAATTCGAGTGGAGAATTTTGAGGCCTACTTTAAGAAACAGCAAGCTGACTCCAACTGTGGGTTTGCAGAGGAATACGAGGCAGGTGGTCATAAACTGTTTTGCATTGTGGTAAAGCTTTGGGTGAGAGGCAGCCTAGAGGGGAGAGAAGATTATGCCTGTTTCTCTGGGGCACCCTGCTGTTGGCTAGGAAGCTCACACAGAACCTTCATTTTTGGTGGAATATGTGTTTATCTTGTGGCTACCTGAAGATTGCCCAGAGAGAGGCAGAAATGGGGAATTGAAGCTCGAGGACCATTAACTAGGGTCATTAAGCCACATGAGTGGTGGAAAAGCCAGATGGGCCATTAGGAGGTCTGGGGCTTAACAGCTATGGGGGCAAAGCTGACCTGGGTTAGGTGTTTCTTTACTCATCTTTGCCTTCCAGACTCACCTACTTTCTATCCCCCAGACTGGCCCAGGAACTGTCCTTACTCAGAAGTGCATGCACGCTTCTTACCCACAAGGTGCTCCCTGGTGCAGAGTCTACTTTTGTACTCCTAGAATCCTGCCCACAACTCCGGCACAGTCCATCCTCAACTTGGACACTGCCTCCTCCCTATCACTTGGGTCCCACACGAGGACTCAGTTTCTGTCTGTGATGATTGTCTTTATGCTGCCTGGTTCCATCTGTGGTCTGTGTACCTCACTCTGCCTAGCCAGGGTAGTGACTCCTGACTGTCCAGCCCCAGAAAGCAAGAGTCCTTCTCCTTTCATTTTCCCCTCTGGTTTAGTTTGAGTGCTGCCCTATCAAAGTACCATGAACAGGGTGACTGAGGACAAATATCCTGTCTCACTGTTGAGGAAACAAGAGGCTCAAAACCACAGTGTCAGCACGACCCCTTAACCTCTAGGGGAGATCCTGCCATGGTTCCAGTTTCTGGAAGGCCCCATTGTCTTTTGGTTTGGGGGAAGCATGGCTTCCATTTCCATCATCCACTACCATTGCCACCATAAGGTGTTTCCTCTTGTGTGTTTGTGTCCCATACTATAACAACATTGCCCATGTTAGGATAAGGACCCACTCTCTTCCAGTGTGACTTCGGGATTTTGATTTCTTGCTTCTTCCATGGTCATAACCTATAGGAGCCTACTCATAGGTGTTGGAGGTTAGATGGTCAACATCTCTTTGCACTTAGCAGAAGTCAATTCATTCTGCCTCTGCATTCTTACTTTGTTCTACCCTGAGCCTGATTAAATATACAACCCACTTATTTGTTTTCAGGATCTGAAGCTGATTGGAATAAGTCTACCTAAATGTACAGCTGAAGTAGCTGAGAACAGGGGGAAGAATCGCTATAACAATGTCCTGCCTTGTGAGTGATTTTATTCCTGTCTTCCCTTTGTCACTGGTCATCTCTTGAACACTATATATATGGAATCAATAATACCCACTTGCTGTCTTCACAACCATTCAGTACCAGATAGTCCCACAACCATCTACCTAGAATGAGTTAAGTACTCTATGAAGAGATATTACATTTAATTTAATCCTCACAACCACAGTTTGTAGAGTAGGTGATGGAATATTCATTTCACAAGTGAAGAAAATAAACCTCCATGTTAGGTGACTTATTCAGAGTTGCATTCTTCTCATGTTCAGTTGTTTTGTTCTGAAAGGGGCACCAGGAAAGCAGGTACAGGGTCGCACTCTCTCCTTGCCCAGATCTTTGATCGGATGATAGATGATAGATGATAGATAGATAGATGGATAGATAGATAGATGATAGATAGATAGATAGATAGATAGATAGATAGATAGATAGATGGACGGACAGACAGACAGATGGGTAAAATTCTAAATTTGGAGTTGTGGAGATGGCTCCATCAGTAAAGTGCTTGCCGTACAGACGTGAGGACCTGAGTTCAACACCCTAGTGCTCACAGTGCACACCTATAATCCCTGCACTGCAGAGGGAGAAGAAGCCCTTTTCTGCTTTTGAGAATTGCCTGTGTCTGTTCTTGTGCTGATTGGTTTTGACTCAACCTAGAATCACTTGGGAAGGAGAGTCTTAGTGAGGAATTGCCTAGGTTATCCTGTGAGATGTCTTTGGGGGGCATTTTGATTGATAATTGATAGAAGACCTAGCCCATTGTGGGCAATACCATTGTGTAGGCAGGAGGGTTTGAATGGTCTAAGAAAGGAGAAATCTTGCTGAGAGAGCAAGCAAGCACAGGTCCATTTGTTCTCTCCCTGCTCTTGCCTGTGGACATGATACTTTAAATTCTTGCCTTAACTTAATCAAGATTGATGTGATCTGGAATTGTAAGCTGTGCAAACTCTTTCCCTCTCCTATACTGCTTTTAATCAGGGTATTTATCACAGCAAAAGAAATGAAACCAGAACAGCAATTACCCAACCAAGTGAGAGCAAACTGAAGAGTAGAGAAGGGTTAGTGATGTGAACACTGCCATGGGAAGTCTGCTGGTGTGAGAGTTAGCACACAGAGGAGTATCGGGGTCTGAACCATGCTCTGCAAGTCCTGAAGGTGCTCGGTTTTGTGGGTGGCTTTTTCACCAAGCTATTTAATGACTTTATCTTTTTAATTTGAAGTCATTCTTTTCTATTAGCTTGTATTTTAAACTCAGTGTATCTTTCAGTCATCGGTTCTTTTTCTGCTTCTTTCCTTATACTTGTCAGTGGGTCTTGGCCTAGATCGGAAAGAAGTGCTTTTGTAGCCATGCTGGGGGAGCTGCTATGTCTCTACCCCCCCTGAGACTAACTCAGAACTTTGGCCTGGTCCTGGAGAGCTTTGGATCTGGAGTGAGGGCTGGGATTTGATGTCTGGGTGGTGTTTCTATTGAGACACACTGGGTTTACTATTGCTGTGCTACTCTGTCCCAGGAGGGTCAGGCAGTGGAATCCATGACTTATCCTGACGTATGCTTTCTAAATGAGAATGATATTTAGAAAATGTGTGAAGTTGGTATTTTAGACCTCTCCATTCATAGCAGTTTTATGTATTCAGTTAACTTTTAAATTTAGAGGGGAATGCTCTTAACCTCTGAGCCATCTCTCCAGCTCTCACAACCATACTGAGATCTGGCGCCCTCCTCTGGCGTGTGGGCATACATCAAGGCAGAATGTTGTATACATAATAAATAAATCTTTAAAAAAAATAAAAAAATAAATTTAGAGGGGTTTGTATGTGCATGTGAGTGTGTGTATATGTGTATGTGTACACATGGAGGCCAGAGGTTGACGTTGGGTTGTCTTCCTCAATTGCTCTGCCTTTTTTTAATTGAAAATATTTTTTAATACAATATATTCTGATTATAGTTTTCTATCCTCATCTTCCCCCAGATCCTCAATATCTCCCCACCCATCCATTTTTGAGACAGGGGTCATTATTTATCCTGGATCTTGCTGATTCACTTAGATTAGCTGGCCATGGAGCTCCAAGGAGCCTGTTTCTTCTCTAGTGCAGGGATTATAGGTGTGCACTGTGGGCACTAGGGTGATGATGATGGTAGATTACTGATGGAGCCATCTCTACAACTCCAAATTTAGAATTTTATCCTGCCTGTCTGCCCATTCATCTATCCATCCATCCATCTTTAATTTGTTGATTGATTATATGTACAGGTGTGAATGTGCCGTGATGTGTGTGGATGTCAGAGAACAACCCGTGGGAGTCAGATATTTCCCTCCATGTGGCCTTGGGGATCAAACTCAGGTCATCCGGCTTGGCAGCAAGCACCTTTAATGCCTGATCTATCTCACTCACCCTATGACAGCTTTTTAAGGCAGTGGGGAAAGGTTAACTTGGATGTCTTTTCTGCCATACTGGAATAGGCTCTGAGTTCAAATTCTGTCTGTTGTTTCTCCACATAGAAGGACTTGGAAATGTCCCTTCATCTCTGAGACTCCTGATTTCTTTATCTTGAAAGCTTGTGAGGTGGTTTTGAGATGTGAATATGGTTACCCAGCACCTGTCCTGCTCAGAGCAGACCCCCAGGCTGCTGGGAATAAAGGCTTGTTCAGGCTGGGAAGGTGGTGAGAACGTAGACCTTGCTGCCAGGCTGCCTAGGTCATCCTAATTCTCATGCTCAGGCTGTTACACGGCTTCTCTGCGCCACAGTCACAGACTCCACAGGAAGTGTGAAGTGTGAAGCCCTGTGTCAGCCAAGGGCTGCCAGTTGGCACTTCTAAAAATTCCCTGTGTGCAGCTTTCCTGAAACTTGGCTTAGAATGAGGCTCTTTCTTTCTTTTAATGCCACAGATGATACTTCTCGAGTCAAACTTTCAGTCCAGACCCATTCGACGGATGACTACATCAATGCCAACTATATGCCTGTAAGTGGTGGCTGCTCTTAGCCCCGGTGGCTGCTCTGAATCATAGCATTTTTTTCTGTGTCTTGAATGATGACTGAGCTTTCTGTTTCTAGGGCTATCATTCCAAGAGAGATTTCATTGCCACACAAGGTCCTTTACCCAACACTTTGAAAGATTTTTGGCGTATGGTTTGGGAGAAAAATGTATATGCCATTGTTATGTTGACCAAATGTGTGGAACAGGGAAGGGTAAGTATCTTTTGAAAAAAAAATGTAAATTAATTATTGTTGTAGAGTGTATCTTAAAATCCATTTGTTTTAAAAGAACACTCTTCCCAGATGATAACACCTTTGTTCTTAGAAAAAATGTTCTGTATTTTTAGCTTTCAGAGAGGTTTTAAAAAAGTATTGAAAATACATTCTACAATGTTCCTTTGTGAGCTCATATTAATGTCTGTGATTGTATCTGTACTGGAGTTAGTGAGCGCATGGAACTGGGTTAGTGCAGTGGACACTGTGGGCCTGGAGCGAGGGATCCGAGACCATACAGCTCTGCTCCTGTAAAGCCTGCCTCTGTCTCTAAGCAACCAGCTCCTAAATCTCTGATTCTCAAACTTAGTTTTTGACACAATAAACAAAATTTCAGACTTATGTCCGGGCAAGTCCCAGCAGCCCTCTCTCTTCCTGTGTGGTCTAGAACCCTCCTGCCATTTCTGTCACAGATATGATCTCTTTTAGGGATAAAGTCTCACGTTTCCCTAAATAGAGATGAGTTGAAAAACATGCTAAATTAAAAATTGTGTGCCTGAAGAGTGAGAATTAATGTTACTTCATGGAGGATTATTAATTACGATTCTATTTAGTGTTGGGATTGCCTGGGGCCTTGGCCTCCCTCAGCACATGCTCTGCTGCTGAGCAGTACCCCAGCTCTCAGTGCTTTGTGTTTTGTTTATATGTTTGTTCCTGAGACAGGGCTTCACTCTTAGCTCAGGCTGGACTTGAACTTCATTCTCCTAATGGCTGAGTTTACAGGCATGAGCTCTCATGCCTGGAATAAGGTCTTTTCTTTTCTTTTCTTTTCTCTTCTTTTCTTTTCTTTTCTCTTCTCTTCTCTTCTCTTCTCTTCTCTTCTCTTCTTTTCTTTTCTTTTCTTTTCTTTTTTCCTCCCCCCCCCCCTCTCTCTCTCTCTCTCTCTCTCTCTCTCTCTCTCTCTCTCTCTCTCTCTCTCTCTCTTTCTTTCTTTCTTGTGGTTTCTTTTCTTGAGGAGTGAGAGTTAGCCCCTGAGTCAGTGATTCCTTCACCTCCCTGTTTGCCAGAGCCTTCTGCAGGGTGTTTCTCAGCCCTCCTTGTTGAGAGTTGGGTCTGACAGCTCAATGCTATGGCTGCTGGCAGCCAGGTGTTCATCATGAATGGCGCTGTCCTAGGTGGTAACTGGAACTTGTCAGACGTAATTCTTTAAAAAATATTTTTATTATGTTCTGTGTATGATGTGTATATGTGTTGGAGAGTGAACATGCCACAGCAAATGTGTGATGTTTCTGGAAATGGGACATGAGTCCTAGATGCAGGCCTTCAGGCTGTGCAGCAAGTGCTTTTTGCTGCTGAACCATCTCACAAACCGGATTCATTTTTCTTAAAGATTCATTTATATTATTTGGAATTATTGGTACATATGCAAATCTGTGTTTGGGTCAAACAGAACCAGCTGAGGAACTAAACAGTCCCAATGTCAGCCTCATGACTTTGATGATGGTGGGGGTGTGATTCCTGTGTTTTCATACAACCAATCCTGTGTTCTAGACCAAATGTGAGGAATACTGGCCTTCCAAGCAGGCTCAGGACTATGGGGACATAACTGTGGCAATGACCTCAGAGGTTGTTCTTCCGGAATGGACCGTCAGAGATTTCGTGGTGAAAAATGTAAGTCAAGATTGATCTGAGAAAATTATTGGATATGAATTTGGAAGTGGTATATATGTTGAAAATAACTAATATTTGATGAATGAGAAAAGTATTTTTGCTTCTTCTTCTTTACAGAATTAAAATGCCCATAACTACATGTTTTCTAAGGAGACCCTAGCTTTATTTTTTGAGGCGACTTTTGTGTCTTTCCTGACTAAATGAGTCTCATGAGCATGGCTGTGTCAGTGATATGCTTTGGGGTGGGCGCTTGCTGCTAGGAATAGTTCTTACTAATCCCAAGGTTCAGATTCTGGGCCAAATGCACTGTCCTCCCTTCCCCCCAAAAGTTACAAAAACAAATCCGCTTAAATCACAAGACATTCTAGAAACTGAATTTATTTTTCTTTTTTAAAGAGTATTTGGAAGTAGAGAAGGTGCTCTGAGTCAACAATGCTATCTACCTTAGAGCTTAACATATTGGGGGGTCTAAAAGTGTTCATCCCTTTTAATCTGGTCGGCTCAAATTTAGTCTCTGACATAAAGAAATAAGGTGAAATTCAGGAATGGACTCATCAGTTACAGATGAGCGTTGTTTATTAGTTTACTAGTTATTAGTATTGATTATCAGTCACAGTCTCAGTGTTGTTTATTCTTAGAAGGTTATTTAGAAGGAAATGAGTAAGCTTTGTGTTTATTTTCATTTCTCTTGGGTATGTGTCCAGTGTCTGCTATTTTATTATTACATGTTCTTTGGTAATTTCATACATAGTTGCAGTTCATTTAGATCATATCCATCTCACCAGCATTATTTGTGGTGGTTGAACAATTGGGAAATCACATGCATAGCTAGCTTTTGGAGAACGGGTAGCTAAACTCTGATTTATGTACATACTGTTATCACCATCCAGCGTTTAGAGATACTGTATATGTAGACAACATACAGCCAGGCTTTACGTAAACCCTGCTGCTTTGTTCAGCTGTGAATTCAGCCAACCTGGGATTGAATAAACATAGTACTTGTATTTAACATGTACAGTCAGGTCCTACAGTATGACAACTATTAAAATACGCTAGGTAATGCAGCTGAGAAATGATCTAAAGTATAGTCACATGTTGAATCGCAGGGTGTATTCTAGGGAATGTGTCTGTGTGAACACCATGGACTGTACTTAACCCTGGATAGTATAGCCTGCTATGCACTTGGGCTGTGTACTGTATACTGCCATAAGTGTATATGATCGTGTGTGTGCAGGTTGCATATACACATGGTTGTATTACTTTGAGAACCTGAACATTCACAGATTTTTCCTGGGATCAGTCCACATGGATCCCGAGGAATGACTGTAATTACCATGAGGAGATGTGAAAAACTAGTGTTAGTGGTACATACTAGGAGATAGAGTTTTAAGTTAGTATCTTACTAGGTAGCCAATACTGGCCTTAAACTCATGAACCTCTGCCTCAATCTCAGTACTGGAGCTATAGGTTTATGTTACAGTGCTTAGCTTGGGGCAACATATATATTAAAAGAATATGCATATAATCTTTTATAATTTTATTATGTGTATGTATACATACACATACACACTATGCATAAAAGAAAAGCCTAGAAGTAGATTCAGTAGTGTTGTATTTTAACAGGGTCCTAGTTTGTAAGAATGAACCTTAAAGATTCCTGAAGATATAGGTAAGGCAAAGTATATGAAATACTACTTCTTACTAGTTACTGATTCTCAAAGACTCTGGTCGCAGGAACTATTTTAGGTCCTTCTTTGGAGATTTTGAGCACACAGTAGCCTGACCACCTCAGTAAGTAAGGTCACAGTGAATGAGGAACTTTTGAAGTATGTCATGCTTATTTCTGCAGCCTTTGCCCATTTAAGTTGACTGGCATATCTGTTATCCACATTTGCTTCTGCTTGGGGTTCACTGGGAAATTGTGCATAGAGGTGGCAAAGAAAATGGTGCTGCTCTCATTGTGTTTATATCAAGGAAACTACAGATTCTAGAGATTTCATGCTCGCCACTGAAGTCTTTTCTTGTTTTAGGACCCAATACAGGCTTTCACATGGCATTTTCTACAATAGTGTTTTGTAGTTTTGTGAAATGCATACATACATTTCCTTCTATAGATGAGAGCATTACAGACAGAGCTCTGTTGTTTTGACTACCACCCCTAGTCTGAGTCCCTTGCCCCCTGCCCTCATGCTCCCCTGCCCCTGCCCCCTGCTTCGGCCCCTCTGCAGAACTGCTCCCAAGAACTTCTGCTTTCCACTGTTTTTTGTGTCTCCTTCTTTCCTGCTCCCTGCAGCTGGTTTCTTTTCTCAGTGAACCCTCATGATGACATTTATGAGGATCCCCAGGGTCCTCTCCCCTATTTCTCAATCTTTGTATAATATAAATTTATTGATTTTATAATGAATGAACATTAAAAATTAGCTTCAGTGATGGAGATGCCCAGTGCCCAGCTGTGGGGAACATATATAAGGTCAGGTAGACAAATGAGTATAGTTGAATCAAGGACAGGAAGGGACAGGACTGGCCCCAGAGGCAGAGCTTTGGTAATTCCAGGCACATGCTTGGTCTAAAGTAGAATACAAACTGGTGTAATTGTTAGATTTGTTAAAATAGTGCTCACTGTCTCCTGCCTGCCAGATGTTGAAGTAGCAGACTGTGAGGTGTGTGTGTGTGTGTGTGTGTGTGTGTGTGTGTGTGAGTGTATGTTCTTTTGTAGACCCCTATAGTTCTAAATATTTATTTGCTCGGTGTTTACTGGTTGTGTGTTCCATAGATTATCTGGAAAGCCCAGGACTTACCAGGTGTCTCTTGCCCAGCATGTGCTCACCTCCTGACCATACTTAGGGAAATGATTTTGGGGTTTAAGGGAAATGTCATTTCCAAGTGGGCTGAAGAATGGGGCTCATCCAGGAGGAGCATGTGTGTGGGTGTAGGGCTCTTACTGACTGGTAGCTGAGAACAGAAGTGATATAAACTCAAAATTGAGCTGGGTGTCTGCTCCATGCGGGATGAGTATCAGGGGCTCACCCCCATTTTCTCTGAACCTCTGCTGCATGTCTTTAGTGAGGCGTATGAAGCCCTTCCTTCCTGGCAGTGTTAGGAAGATTTGGTGATGGGGATAAACAAATTGGAATTGGTTATTGGAACTGTTCCTGCCTGGCTGCTTGTTGTCCTGCTTGTGTGATACAGTTCTCCGGCACTACTTGACTTCTCTCGTTGTGGTATTGTTGGGTACCCTTACTGTCTAGATCTCTAACCCACTTTGTTGGCTTCTAGATGCAGACAAGTGAGAGTCATCCTCTGCGGCAGTTCCACTTCACCTCCTGGCCTGACCACGGTGTTCCTGACACCACAGACCTGCTCATCAACTTTCGTTACTTGGTCCGAGACTACATGAAGCAGATACCTCCTGAATCACCAATCCTGGTGCACTGCAGGTACACCTAGTTGGCAGCTCATGTATGTGTGACAACTTAAAATGTGATGGTTAATGAGCAACACCCACGAGGAAATGCAATAGATAGTTGGAAACTCAAGGATAGTCTGCAAGAGGGTACCAGGGACTTAGTCCCTGAGCCGTGAGACTGTATATAGAAAGGAGTTAGCAAGCTATATAGCCTATGGGCCACTTGTTTCTATATATAAAACCTCATCGGAACATACTGCTGAGCTGAAGGTATTTGCCATCTGGTCATTTACAGAAAGCGCACACACTCCTACAATAGGCTTCATAAATAAGTGTAACTTTTTGTCCTAGGCTTTAGGACCATTCAGTATCATGGAGTATGAGATGGTTTAGCAAGATGTTTTGTTTGTGACATTTAACTCAAGTGAGTTTCCAACCTTGCTTGAAGATGCAGTTGAGCAACAAAGTTTGTGTTAGCTTCAAACAGTGACAATGGAGATGTGGGTACCTGTGGGAGAACTGAGAGATCCATGGTGAAGGCAACTGGTGATGATGACTCATGTCTCTGTTTTCTAGTGCTGGGGTCGGAAGGACGGGCACGTTCATTGCTATCGATCGTCTGATCTATCAGATAGAGAATGAGAACACTGTGGATGTGTACGGTATCGTCTATGATCTTCGGATGCACAGGCCTCTGATGGTACAGACAGAGGTGAGGCCCCTTCTGCATTTGAAATTTTGATCTCCCCATCTGTCTCTGAAACATCAAATGGAGTCACATGTTGGGCTTGAAGCATTGGACTCTTCTAGATATTTTTGACTCTTGGTTGTATATTTCTTTGCAGGTTCTAATCTAAGTTGTAATTAAATCACCTGACACAATAGCACAGGTGAAAGCACACGTGACACAGTAGCACCAGTGGGAGCACACGTGACACAGTAGCACCAGTGGGACCACACGTGACACAGTAGCACCAGTGGGAGCACACGTGACACAGTAGCACCAGTGGGAGCACACGTGACACAGTAGCACCAGTGGGAGCACACGTGACACAGTAGCACCAGTGGGATCACACGTGCAGATAGAGAGTCTTTACTGCTTCTGACTTTTGAAACAGTCTTCTTTAAGGTAAAGCGATTGCTTATTTTTATTATGTGTATATGGGTGATTTGCCTATATGTATGTCTGTGTATCATATGCTGTTAGAGGCCAGGAGAGAACTTTGGGTTCCCTGAAAATGGTTGGGAGCTGCCATGTGGGTGGTGGGAATCAAACCCTTGACTTCTGTGGTGGTCTTAACTGCTGAGCCATCTCTCTAGCCCTCAAATGAATCTTTTTAAGTATTTTGGCTTGGTTTCCAGATTTTAGATTTGTAAGACTGGTAGTTTTGAGTCTTTGTTTCTAATAAGATCTGACCATCTTTAAGCTAGCAGAACAGTCTTACCACACTTACTGGTGGGAAATAGCACATCGCCACTGAAGCACAAATGTGGGAACCCTTACACACCTTACACAGCCTTGAATGTTAAAGATTCTCAGGGCTCTAGCAGGGTGGCTGAGCAGTGCGAGGGTGCGTGCTCTCTGGGATGTTTGCTCTTCTTGGTGTCCTTGGTGAGCTCATATCTGAGGCGCGTTCTCATCACAGTGTGGTGGGGAGGAGCTTCCTCAGAGGTGGATATTCCTGGACCAGGATGAGAGCAGAATATTCATTTTGTTTCAGGCTGTTACCCTGTACCAATTTAGAAACTTATGAATATGTGCTGTGTTTGAGTCTAGTAGGGAGTGTTCTAGAGGTCTGGATACATCGTGTGCTTTTGGATGAGTTGCACGATTGTGAGAGAAAGAATGAAATTTTGCTTCTGTGTTAGGTTTTCATTTTTCTGCTATAGTTTTTAAAGAATTAGAATAGAAATCTTATTATCTGTCTGCAGAGTCTTCCCTCATCTCTCTTTTTCCATTTTTGTGTCCTTGTGTGTGCATGTGTGCATGTGTGTAACTGTCTTAGATTACTTTTCCACCTTGACGCAGGGTCTCACAATCAATCCAGAGCATGAAAATAGGGCTGATTTAGTTAGCTGACTTGCTCTGGGGTCACATTCTTTTTCTGAGGCCACACCCACCCAACATTTCCATGGGTTTTGTGGATCTGCCATTTAATCCTGCTGCTGCATGGCAATATTTTAACCATGATCCACCTCTCCAGCACCCGATCTCTTTCTCATATTTCAAAAATAATATATGAAAAATAAGCTTTGTAGGACTACACAGAATACATTTCCCCTCTCTTTTATTTCTCTAACCCACTTCCTAGAGGAAGACCATATTCACCTTTAGATTGTGCTGTGGTTTGAATTCCCACAATCCCTGGGCTCTGGGTTGGAGCCCCAATTGGTGGTGCCACTTTGAAATTGGTGGTGCAACCTTCAGGAAGTCAAGCCTTGCTGGAGGAAGGGTCACTAGAGGTGGGCCTTAAGGTTTTGTATCTGAGTGCCATTTCCTGTCTGCCTTCTGCTTCCTGGTTGTGAATGCAGTGTGACCAGCTGACGGTGCTCTTGCTGCCATCTTCCCCCTATCATGATGGGTTGAGCCAGAAGCAACACTTCTTTCCTTAAATTGCTTCTTGTCAGGTAATTGGTCATAGCCGCAGCAGGTCACACGTGACCCAGCAGGCGCTGCAGGACTCTGTATGCTGTGAATATATGTACACATACATATATGGAATATTTATTTGGAAAAGATCAGATCATGTTTTACATATAATGCTTCCTTATGAGGTTTTCTCTCACAGTACCTGGTTATTTTTCTGGGTCGGCATATGTTTTCTGTCTTTAAACAGCTACCTCTAGATTCTGAACTTGCTGTGCTGGTTTATTTTGCCACGGTTTGGGAGATAGCAGCACTTATTGGTTCTCTCTCCTTGTCTTTCCTCCCAGGACCAGTATGTGTTCCTCAATCAGTGTGTCTTGGATATCATCAGAGCCCAGAAAGACTCCAAAGTTGATCTCATCTATCAGAACACAACCGCGATGACAATCTATGAAAACCTCGAGCCAGTGAGCATGTTTGGAAAGACTAACGGTTACATCGCCTAGTTCCAAAGCAAACGCTTTCCGTCACACCCACAGTGAAGGAAAATGCCCTGATGTGGACATGTGTTTATATGTCTCATTTCTCAGTTCTTTGTTCTGCTCCGTTAGAACTAACTGCCTTGGAGGGCCTGAGGCTGTGAGTGTAAAACATGGCAGACAGGGAGTTAGGGCTGTCAGGAGCTATGGACAGGTGACGTATCAGTCAGCTGCATTCCTGATTACCCATGTGTTGGGTTCACTTTTTTTCCCCTTGAGAATTGTGGAAAAACCAGGAAAAGTGAGCTACAATTTTATTTTTCTTTTCCAAACAGATTCGTTCTCTCTCTCTTTCTCTCTCTCTCTCCCTCCCTCCCTCCCTCCCCCCCCCCCCCCCCCCCCCCCCCCCCCCCCCCCCCCCCCCCCCCCCCCCCCCCTCTCTCTCTCCCCCTCTCTCTCTCTCTCTCTCTCTCTCTCTCTCTCTCTCTCTCTCTCTCTCATTTTTTTAGGACTTTTCTGTGATTCACATGCTAAAGTCAGGCTTGTGTTGGGTTGGATATATTTTAAGTATCAGAGGTCTATTTTTACCTCCTGTATCTTGGAATCTAGCTGATGGAAATACATGACTGTGGGTGTTTACCATGCAGGGAGGGGCACGCGGGGCCTTTTCTGCCTGGGTTTCTATTTGAACATGTGCCTTTTTTGAATTATGCTTCCACAGGCAAAACTCAGTAGATATCTCTATTTTTATATTGAATCTCATAATTGGAGTATACAGAATATTTAAATGGTAACTTAGTATCAGAGGTTTGCCTTCTCAGTAACATTCCTGTTCTCATTTGATTAGAGGAGGCTTTCTCTGTGACCCATTTTTCGCATAGATTTGTATTCCATTGTTTTTCTTTTTTTTTCCCTCCCAGTTTTCTTCAAAGATTTCTGTTGGTGACATTTTCATCCCATCACTTGGTTGAGAATAGATACTCTCTGTGGAGTGGGGTGGGGTGGGGTGGGGTTGGGAGAGAGAGAAATTGTCATACCACGGCATACACCCCTTCCCACCCCGTCTTCTACTTTCTCTCATTTCCGTCTTTGGTAAGAAGGATTATTTAAAGGTGCAATATGTGACTTAGTGGTTCACGATGCTCTGGGTTTTTAGTAATGTTTTACTCAGGTTGGCATTTTACGTATGTCTGTGTTTATGTGTGTGTATGTCTGTGTGTGTGTGTGTGTGTGTGTGTGTGTGTTTTATAGCATGATGATCTGTGAACATTTCAGTGTGAACTCAGATTAACCCCCTTTTCCCCCGAAGTCCACTGGCTTTAGACTCTATCTGCAGTGACACACATCAGTATCTACTGTATATATAAATACTAAACTCTTACACCAGTCATTCCTATGAATTGAGGTGTACAAAGTTTGATTTGTATCAAAGATGTAATTATTATTTTTAAAACCTCTTTTCACTACACTGCTGCTGTAATTACTTTGAGTTTTAAAGAAAATGTAGATTCTTGTTTTGCTTCAGGTGTGTATTCACCAAGAATTTTAGAATTTATGAGGATTATTTTATTGGTACATAATCTGTAAACTTCTCAAGGCATTAACATGACAAGATTTGTGTCTTTTATATTGTAGCTCAGGTTATATTTGAGGAAGTTTTGAGTTTATTCTCCAGTAGGCAATGAAGTATATAAGGTCTTATGAAGGAATCACAAGTCCCTGGAGCCCTAGGGCTGTTTTCTACTGGATGTTTGTGACAGTGGTCTCCTGTTGAAGATGAGAGTGGGGTCTTCTCCGAGGTCCTGGCCACTGTGGGCCCCGGGGTGGCCTTCTGGCATTCTGTACTCTGCACTTCACTCAGCAGCACTTTGATGACTGTGTGTACATGATCATGAGTGTTTGAGGGTCCTAGAGGGTGAACCATGGTGCGTGATCAGAGTTAGTGCTGTATGTGTTCTGCCGCCTTTCCTTCCAGGTACTGAGAGAATTGAAAGGAGGCTCAGAATGTCGTCGTGCTTTGGGGGAGAATTTTGCTTCTCAAACGGAAACTGCACTTTTTGCCAACTCCTTTGTGTTTTAATGTCCATTTACTGTCAGGTCTTTCAAGGAAAGGACTAGCCAGGGCGGGTTGGGCCCCTTGACTCCACCTCACCCGGGACTTTGACATTGCAGTTGTGAATCAGGGAAGCCATGCTGTCCCAAGGTGTGAAGGAGTGAAGCTGAATGTGGACTTACTATCCCCAAACCCCATTTAATCTGACCCCTAGCACGCGCTGACTCTGGGGTGCTATACAGATGGACCTGTCTGGTGATAGTTCTGTGCACCACCACGCGACCTGCTCAGTGTGTTAGGAACCACTGTAGTGAATGGTAGGGGGTCAAATCTGGTGCAGTGCCTGAGCCTTGCCTTAACTGCCATAGGAAAGGCGGAGGAAAGGACTTGCCCCAGCAAAGTCCTGTAAAAGATTGGAGTCTCTTTAAAAAATGAAAGCAACATAATTATAAACATACTGTATAAAAACACAGAAATCTTCTCTGCTTCTGCCTGTGTGGATCTGGAAAGTCCTTAGGCCCCAGCCCCAGCAAGCCACTCTCACATGTTATTCCCAGGCCCAGGGAAAAAAGCTAGTTAGTGGCAGAGAGATGGAGCGTTCCAAATAAACAGGTTACACGAAGGTCACCATGCCATTCCACATCCGGAGGAGGACTGTGTGGTGGGGTTTGCCTAGCACAGTCAGTGGAAAGGGAAGATTAGCATGTTGGTCAGAAGATCATGTGACAGAAGCTGAGGCTGGGCAGAGGTGAGGGGAGAGTCTTCTCTTTGTATGCCCCAGGTCTCAATGGAACTGGGAACCAGAATTTGAAGAGTGGCGGAATTGGAATGATAGAGCTCCCTGCTCAGATGTAATGGCTCCACAGAGCAAAACAGCTGGTGTAGGACTCACCGTCAGTGAAAGGGTCACAGACTAGTGGCCAGCTGCTGTGCAGGACGTGGGCCATTGATGTCTTCTAAGACACTTTTCCTCCAGGGCTGAATCTAGTGAATGGGCAGCAGAAGGACATTTGGTGTCTCTTCTCTGAGACCACTTTGTGATCTCCAGCCAGACTTTGGCACGTGGACCCTCTGGATTTGTGCTTTGTGAAGTTGGAGGCTCTGGGGGGTGGGAGTGGGGAGGAGGTAGGGAAGGGTCAACTATGCATTTATACTTGCTTTTCTGGGATGGAGAAGCCCAGTCTTTTGTAATGCTTGATTGCAGTTTGTGCTTGTTGAGCTAAACAAGCCTGCTGACGGAAGTTGATTCACCTCAAAACAAAGTCAGAATTCTGTGTTTTCAGACTACCATGTAGCAACTGTGTGTTTAATGACTGTAGCGTTTTCTCCCTGGGGTATAGAAGTGTTGATGCGGACTTTAAACCGCACTTTTCTTGTAACTATTGTGGAATAATGCACATTTCTATGTCTGTTATACTTGGCCAGAGTATTGCTGTTGGTTGCTTTTTTTTAAAGGAAAAAAAATGGCCTGCAAAAACTTTTTTAAAGACTTACAAATACCAAATATAAAATATGTCAACACATTATGTCTTTGAGTCTTTCTTTCCTTTATCCCCACCCCACTTATTCTATGTCTCTACCAAGTATCAAGCGCTTTACTGATTTGTTATATTTAACCAGTGCATCCCTAACAAAATCATATCACCACTGGAATTTTTTGTATTGTTTTCTAGGGTCACCGTTTCAGATACCACAGATGGTGGTTTAAGCCAAAAGAATCATCTTTTTACATTTCTAAGAGATCCAAGGGTGGCAGGTTCTCATCTGGTCTCCCTGTCAATATGTGGTCTTTCCCCTAGGCTAGCCTTCTCCCTGTCCACATGTGGTCTTTCCCCTAGTTTCAGATATCACATATGGTGGTTTAAGCCAAAAGAATCATCATTTTACAATTCTAAGAGATCCAAGGGTAGCAGGTTCTCATCAGATCTACCTGTCAAAATGTGGTCTTTCCCCTAGGCTAGCCTTCTCTCTGCCCACATGTAGTCTTTCCCCTAGGCTAGCCTTCTCCCTGTCAAGATGGGGTCTTTCCCCTAGGCTAGCCTTCTCTCTGCCCACATGTGGTCTTTCCCCTAGGCTAGCCTTCTCAATGTCCACATGTGGTCTTTCCCCTAGGCAAGCCTTCTCTCTGCCCACATGTGATCTTTCCTTTATACAGTCTGAGGATTCTAGTGGTACTGGTTAGGGCCTTATCCACACTATCTTGTCTTACCTTAATTCCCTTCTTAGATTTCTTCTTCAAATAGAGTCACATTTTGAGGTCCTAGGGGTTTATACTTCAAGATAGGGGAGTTAGAAGATGTGGTTGTGTGGGTGCTCAGGCCTAACAGTGTTACTCTCAGTTTGGTAGGAGTATGCTCACCTTAGAGGGTCTTTTGTTGAGATGTATAGGAAATTTCATAATTCTTGGGATTTGGTGACAGGATTATGGCAGCTGGTTATCAACCCTCCTAATGCTGCAACCTGTTAATAAACCCCTCATGTTATGATGACCCTACCCATAAAATTATTTTTGTTGCTACTTTTTTACTATAATGTTATGAATTGTAATGTGAATGTTAGTGTTTTTCTGTTGATTTTAGGCCACTACTGTGAAAGGATCATTCGACCCCTAAGGGGTCACGACCCACAAGTTGAGAACCATTGTGATTTCATCATTTGTGTCCCTTGAAAAAACAATATTTTTATTGTTGTTGTTGTCGAGACTGGAGCTCATGTAGCCCAGGCTGGATTTAAACTTCTTATGACCTTGAATTTCTAACCCTCTTGCCTTCATTTTCTGAGTCCTGAGAATAAGCATGTATCATCATTCCCAGCACATTTTTGATTCATTTAACGAGAAATAAAATTTCCATGTGATTTCTTTTAGTATGTCCAAATTGACTGACTCAAGGTCCTTTTTTTTTTTTGTAACTTTTCTGATTAGGCAGAAAAGTACAAACCTGGGACCGCTGGTAATGTCGTTGCCCAAACAGCCTCAGTCTGTGGCTGAGGCTACGGTGTTTGGCTTCTGATGTACTGGATGTATGGTGATCAAGAGTCATACCAGTCCAAACACTGAGAAGACAGGGCTTTTCCTCCACCTACATGCACCTCAAACCTAAACTGAAGGAGTCAAGACCACAGAACTTTTCCTTAGTCAGCATTCATGAGAATGAAGGGCACAGAACTGTTGTCTTATTGAAGACGTGGGTCTGCACAGAACGGCATGGCCAAAGCCAAACAAGTTTAGATCCAAGCTAAGTGGGAATCCTACCTTGACCCCTGATGTCGCCAGGCCAGCGAGTCTCTGACCTGGTGATCACTTGAGGGTGATTTTGTTGTTTATCAGTGTCATGAAAAAATGTCTAATCGGAAGCAACTTCAGAGGAGAAGGCTTTGTTTTAGCTGACAGTCATCATGGCAGTGGGAGAGGGTGCCAGTCACATTGCATTGGCAGTCTAGATCCAAAGCATGAGCAGGAAGTAGGGCCAGGTTATAGGGAACCACTTCTTCCCAAAGGTTACCATACCAAACAAGGCTGGTGTGCTGCTGTGCTCAAACACACGAGTTATGGGAAACATTTCACATCCAAGCTACAATACTCAGTATGAGAAAAAAGATGGCAAAATTTTGGCATATTGTAATTTGATGTGGTAACATGATAAGACACTTTATGTATTGCCTAGAATGCAGTGGTGGCTACTCAACCTCAGTTTTATGTCTGTTATGATGGCAGTGAGTTGTACATTTGTGGACAAGCCAGACATCTCTTGTTGTGGAATTTGACCTATAAGCAAGACAGGAAATTAAAGAGAATCCAGCATGAATATGCTGACACTGTGGCTAGAACAAGTCAGCTTTGAATTAAGGAGGCAAAAAGGGTAGAAGAGTAGAAAGAAGGAAGGGTGTAGCTGAGACTCTGAAGCAGGAGACGGTTTGGCAATCTGAAGAGTAGTTGGGAAACTAAGCTTTCTGGGAATTAGCTGGAGAGGAAGCACTGCGTACTTAGTCATGGCAAGGAGACAGGGAGGTGATCTGTGTGTGGCAGGAGTCATCAGAGCTTTAAGCTGCATAGAGTCATGTTTGTGCTGATCACTGTATATACACTGAGCTACATGGGAGGCTGTTCTGGTCTGGCTTCACTGTGGTCTAGGAGATAAGGATATGTACATGTGTCCCCCCACTTCCACACATTGGAAGCCTTTGGAGTGGGGACTTTTGGGAGGTGATTCTCTCAGAAGGATGGAACTACCTAGCAAGTTTGGACTGCTTGAGACCCTCCCTCTTTTAATGAAAAGAAATTCTCAAAAAAAAAAAAAAAGAAATTCTCGCATATAAGCATATAATACATCCCAACCATAGTTTCCCTTACCTCCACCTCCCCTCTGCCCCAAATCCACTTTCCTTCTGTTTCCTCTTCAAAAAAGAGCAGGCCTCCAAGAGACAACAGCCAAACAGAACCAAACAAGAAGCAGTAAGACAAGGCAAAAGCCTTCATATCGAGGCGGACAAGGCAACGGGTAGGAAAGAGAGTCCAGAGAGTAGGCAAAAGAGTCAGATGCATCTGCTCCTGCTGTTAGGAGTCTTATGAAAATACCAAGCTAATGGCCATATAATCTGCAGAGAACCTTGTGCAGACCCCTGAAGGCCCGCTGCTTGTCATTTCAGATTCTGTGAGCTCTCGTGAACCCTGCTTAGTTGATTCAGTGGACCGTGTTCAACTGGTGTCCTCCATTCCCTCTGAATCCTACAGTCTTTCCCCTGTCTTCTGTGAAATTCACTGGGTCTCTAAGGGGAGGGTCCTGATAGAGACTTCAATTTAGATTCTCTCTCTGAATTATGCCTGGCTGTGGGATTTTGCACCTACTCCCATCTGCTTCTGCCTCTCCAATGACAACTGTTCAAACCACATATCTATGATCATAGCAGAATATCATTAAAAGTAATTTTATTTCATTGATTTTTTTACCAGTTGTATTAGGTTCTACCCAGTCTTTGGTTTCTGACCATCCAGGCAGTATAGGCCATGGGCTCCCTCTACTGGCATGTGCCTTAAGTTAAACCAAACATTGGCCACTCCCACAAGTTCTGCACATCTTGAAGGCAGGACAGATTATAGGTGGAGGGTTTTGTGACTGGTTGGTGTCTAGGCTTCTCTCTGTATCCTGAAGAGTACCTTCTTGTACCAAAGAGACTAGAAAGTAGGGGGCGAAGGCTCCAAGTGTACATCACCATGAGCTGTGTGGAAGTTGTTTTTGGCAATGGGGCTCCACTATCAGTTTTCAGAGAGTGACCTGTCCTATCATCAGCCTGTGTTGTATAGAGATCTCTATGGGACCTCCTCTGCCAACAACACAGATGAATGTTGAGAAATGCAAATCAAAACTATGTTGAGATTACATCTTATCCCTGTCAAAATGGCTAAGATCAATAACACAGTGGCAGCTCATGCTGGAGAGGATGTGGGGCAAGGGGAACACTCCTCCATTGCTGGTGGGAGTGCAAATTAGTTCAACCACTATGGAAATCAATATAGTGGTTCCTCTGAAAATTTGGAATCAATCTATCTCAGGACCCACTCTTGGGCATATATCCAAAGGATGCTCAAGCATTCCACAAGGACACATGCTCAACTATGTTCTTAGCAGTTTTATTCTTAATAGCCAGAAACGAAATAACCTAGATGTCCCTGAACAGAAGAATGGATAAAGAAAATGTGGTGCATTTACACAAATGGATGCAACTATAAAACATTCATCCTGGATGAGGTAACCTAGACATGAAATAAAAGTATGGTGTGTACTCACTCATAAGTGGATACTAGCTGTTAAGTAAATGACAATCGAGGGCGAATAATGAATTTCCCTTGGAAGGGAAATAGAATAGAGAATATGGGTGGCCTGGGGATGGGGGGATGGTCGTGGGAGGGATCAGGTGGCAGGGAAGGGATGTGTGAGGAATTGGGGCATTTGGGCAGATGGTGTGGAAATGTAGCGCAATGGAAAGTCCCTTGAGTTTGTGAGAGTGGAGTAACGGAGGCAGCTTGAACTGCCACCTGTTCGAGGCAGGCAAGGCTTCAAGTGGTGGGGACCACATGTTAGGCTTTTATGATAGTTGACAACTGGAGAAGTTTCCTCAATGACAGGTAAATTGTCCTGCTGAAGGCCACAGTTTTAGATCTTGCCACTAGATGGAGCCAGAGCACTGAACTTAAAAAGCAATTTTGCAGTGTAAGGCAGGAAAACAACCAAGAATCCCCTAAGTCAACAAGTGCTTTTCGCGGGCAGTCGGTAGCCTTTCCAACCCCGCTTATTGCATTATATATTCATGACAAAAGGAAAATCAAGAAACTCAAAAGGGAAAACTAGAATGAAGACTGTCCCCGGAGACTTTGCTACCTAGTATTAATTCTCACCTCAAGAGTCCTGTCCCACACCTTGACAAGGTTGTTGTGGCCTACAGAATGGTGGTGGTGCCTCAAGTCTGGGATCAGGCCCTAAAATTGCAGGCCATCTGTAATAACCTGCGTGCTCCCAGTCCTGTATGT